CGCAGACCAAACACATGTCATATATTCCTTAGTTTATTTGATCGAGTCTCATCCTCAAGTCTTGTGTGTATCCTTCGGGATAAATACAGGATTTGAGGTACAGTACTCTTTCATTTTAAACTATGAAAATTATGGGGTTAATATTTTTTTTAAAACAAATATATATGTAAATTAAAACGTCCTTCCGAAGCGGGCGACAATATTTTGATTTCGGTGACCGACAACTTTTTACGGGCAACTCCTCCAACCAAAAATAGCGCCGACTGTATATCAAAGACAACACTTTGGCAATACCTGGGGTGGTTTTCCTTTTGCTACCTTGGTCATGAGCCTTGCTCGGTGGGCATTGTCCTTGTGGTTTTCGGTTCTGCACTCTAACCGTGAGATTAGCAGATATATGTTTGTTTCTTGTTTGTCCCCCATCCGTGGAACTGTTGTGTTGGGTTCCACCTTCCCACCTGCGGCCGTGAGCTTTCTATAGGGAGTTTGGATTGGTTTGTTTTGGCCCCTACTTGTGAGCTAGTTTGGAGCTCGCTTGTGCTTTTGTTGGGTTTACGCGTGACCCCCTACTCTCTTTTCTGGGCCCTGTTTACTGCCTTAGCCGTGAGCCTCTTGATCCTTTGGGTGGCCTTGACCGAGAGCCTTAGTTGCTGTCCTCCTTTCGATTGATCCTGGGACTTACCTTTTTAGGTCTATTCGTTAGAAGTTTGTGAGCTGATTCATCATTCATTTTTTTCGATGTTTTAGGTGGATCAGTCCCTCCTCTATGAGCTAGTTTGGAGCTCGCTTGTGCTTTTGTTGGGTTTACGCGTGACCCCCTACTCTCTTTTCTGGGCCCTGTTTACTGCCTTAGCCGTGAGCCTCTTGATCCTTTGGGTTGCCTTGACCGAGAGCCTTAGTTGCTGTCCTCCTTTCGATTGATCTTGGGACCTACCTTTTTAGGGCTTTTCATAACAAGTTTTGAGAGCTGATTCATTCTTCGTTCTTTTCGATGTTTTAGGTGGATCAGTCCCTCCTCTCTCTCACCCTATTTTTGTTCTTTTTTTTTTTGCTTCTTGGTTCAGTTTATGATGATTATGTCTGTTACATAAGTGTCCACGTATAACCTTTTGTTATACGTGAAACCATCAAGCAAGGTCGTTTTGGGGCTTAGGGCGGTGATGACAAAGGCACACCGGAGATAAAGCAGAATGATATGTCATCCTATGACATCCGATTTAGGTATCCGATGAGCTGTAGGATGACAGTATCGTTCACCGATATAAGACTAGCGAGAGTTGACTTGAACCTTCTTAGGTTGTTGGTAGCACTACGCCCGACAGCGTGATCGACTCGTGGACAACTACTTTTCAAAATTAATAAGAACAAATTTGATAAGAACAAATACATCTTTTTCTAAAACAAAAATATATTTTTTCCTACAAATAAAATTGATACAACCTCTTTTGTATGCTTGAAACTTATGTGCATTCTAAAAATATAAATTTTAAATACATTTTAAACATTAGTTGTCCACCTTTTGATTACCTGTTTGGGCTAAAGAGTACCCTCCTAAGTTAGGTTTGATAGGACACCCTTCTGGTTGAGTGGCAGATTTTATACATCCGGGTGACCGAGTAGCCTTCGACGACCATCGAGTACTAATATATTGTTGAGCCTAGCCCCGACCCGAGTGCTTGCGGTCCCTTCTTTTCAGACTTTTTCATATGTTTTTTTGGGATTTTTGGACAAAACACTCGTGGTCTCTTTTCGGGATTTTCCAGTGTTTTCTACGATTTTCATCGATTCGTCAATTTCCTCGCATTTTCTTTGTCGCGAGTCTTTTGACGATTTTTCTCGAGATTTCTGAGTGATGTTTCGTTCCTTCGTTTATTCAAACATTTCAGTTTGCTTTCTCAAATTTTGTTGCTTGTACCTGATTGCATCAATTACACCTAAGGAACTGCGGATCTCTCAGCTATACATGTTTGCTTTGTGTTTACAGCATATTACTTTCTTGCAAATCACCTACTGCCGTACCTTCTACTTTTTTCTTTACACCACATGTGATGTTCTTTTCGTATACTCTACTGTATACTCTACTGCTTGCCATGTGCTACATACTCTACTGTTATGCTATGCACTGTACAACTTAACATGTTCCCTATACAATAGGGTCGATAGATTTGGCATCATAGCCTGACACCCTATAAAACTTAAACTCGTCACGACAAGGAACTTAGAGCTGGCGCGGTGGGCAGCACGGCCATCTTCAACAGCAGAATATGTTTTCCCTAACTAAATCATTCATTCCTTAGAATTAAACAACAATCCATATGATTTTAAGGTCGTTTGCGTGGTGCCACATAAATCCTCAACTTTTCTTTTAGGCATTTGTACAGCTCTACTGTGCAATCTAAACCCCAACTCGTTTTAGAATTCTGAGGTTGTCGTCCGTCACGACCTAAATCCTCACATCTTCCAGGCTATTTGTGTGATTGTTTCATACATGTGTAAGCCGTAAATAAATAAAATTGGGAAGATAAAACACTTGAATAATTTCTCCTCTAAACTGAAGCCAAATCATAGGATAGACTGAGAAGTCACCGAGGTTCTCCTTCGGATCTGTGACATCCCCTAGTTCTTCTTTCTTTGGATTATATAATAAATGTTCCAAACTTGAACCATTCTTTTTTCACACCTCTTTGTCCGATTTCATTGAAAAGTCCTATCCTTTGACTTCTTTGAAGATAACATTCCTTAATTTTTATCGAGAGTTTTATTCTTATGTAACTACTGTTGTCTAAGATTTAATTAAGTGTGGAACTGTAGGGACAACAAGTAGGAAAGGGTTGTGGTGGTTGGTAGCGATAGTGGGTTGGTTGGTAGAAGCTTGAAAGAAGTTAGGATGCCTGGGCAACAGTAATGACCTGCAGGAAGGGGAAATGTTGGGTGTCGGGGTGACAGAGGGAGAGTTCAGTAGCTGAGGAGTGGGGATTCTAAGGTTTGGGAAGATAAAAAGGGAGGATACAATCACCACCTCGGAGATGATACAGCCGGAGCACCACCCCCCCTCGGATACAGTCCCCAAGGGGAAGAGACTCCAGGAGATATGAAACTAAACACACTAAAACTGAACTCTTTAACACACTGGAAACAACTATTTATAGACTCCTACACAAAAGGAGGGCAGAAGAATCCAGAAAAGTCTACATATGTGCGACTGCTTGCGAAGTTTCCTACCCTTTCGCAAGTGTTACCGCGTGAGACCTCAGTGCATCGCAATCCTGCCCCCGTGACTGTTCTCCCATTGTCACGACTCCCTCGTGATGATTGTGAATTTCTGTGATCCTGCTGCTGCGATGGCTCATGATTCTACGAGTTTGCGATCCCGTCTGCACGAAATTTCTTGGCGGTTTCGGTACCTGTTGTGGGTGCTAAATAGCTCCGGCGTCAGGTAAAGTCACATATGTTCTAAAAATTTAGTTATAATAGATTCTACTTGTAAGAGTTTGCCAAAAATAATACCTATAGAATTTAAGTTGGATTGGTTGAGAAACCTTAGATGCCATTAGATGTGGGGTTTGGGCTATGTTTAATTTTTCTAGTTTGATTATTTATCATAAGCCACCTATAGTTTTTCAAGGCTCAAGCTGTTTCTAACCCCCACATTGCAATGACCTAACATTTAATCCCATCACGCCCATTATCACCATCCACACTTCCACCATTCCAGCCACCATTCACTCTTTTACTTCGTCTTAAGTACCATAATATTTTTTTAGATCTATTCAACCTCAGCTTGTAGAGTTCCTCACAGATCATTTTGTAATTAATGTTGATGGGAGACTTCTGAGATAACCTCGTCAACTAGTGTGAACCCAAACTTTCTAATACTACGCGGTTAGAATTGTAGTTTATGCTGGAGGCTGTGGCAATAGTTAAGGGGGTTGGGATTGATGTATGGCTGAAACGAAAGTTTTTTCAAGCTTGGTGTTGATTGTGGATGCATTCAAAAGGCATGAAATATCACATTTCGAGTTCCATCTTACATTTGTTTTTTATTGTTTCTCATATTATATTTTTTGTTTTTTTTTAAAATGTTTGGTTGTATGTGAACTCTGTGGACATACTGGAAGTCATGTTCACCAATCAACTAAAGGGCCGCCTTGTTGCAAACATTTTGAATTCCATTGCATTTGAAGTTCAATAGAAAGTAAATTCATTGTATTTGAAATATTTTTTGATTTTGATTAATTTAGAATAAATTTAGGAGATTAATTTTTTGTAACTGAATTTTCATAAAAGAACTACTGCATTTTGAACTTTTTTGGATGAATTTGTTTATTGTGTATTATGGGATCATCATTGATGGGTGGTAGGAGGTGATTGGCGACATTGTGTAGTGGCAGTGTACGGCATTGTCAAGTGCTAGATAGAAACTGAGTGGGGAAGATGATGCAGTGTGTTTAAAAATCACCCAAGTTGGGTGGTTTTGAAATACAAAAAAAAAATAATAAAAAAAAAATGAAATGAATGGTGAATTCCAAATATATGAACAAATTACCTTGAATTTATTTTTCATCTAACCAGATAACTAAAATTTTAAATTTCTTGCATAGCTTTTACACTGAATATACTTTAAACCTAACAATTTTAAAATTATATGAACTAATGCTTGTTGAGATCAAATCAATGAGATGATTTCACTTTATTCCGTTTTTGTTCTTTGTGATGAATGTTGGATTTTATGTTTTCTAATCATTAGTTTAGTTTATGTTATGTGCTGTTGACATAACACCTATTTTATATAAACCTTAGCCAAAATCCCAGATTTCTTCATCAATACTAGAGATTTCAAAATCGGTCACCTGTGCATAGACATGACATACACTGAGACAAAGTTCGTTTCGATCTCTAGTTGTTCTTGGTTCTTACATTCGAAGTTTATTTGATGTTTTATTGTGTAAAGACCTAAGAAAGATTAGCATTTTCTTATGGAAGTTTTATGCCGCTTGCAGAATGAAATCCGTGTACAAAATACTGATGATTATCGATTTCAACAGGTATATGTTCAATTGCTACTTACGCATTTAGTGCGCTCTTTCCTTTAAATTTTCTACTTTATTTGGAGCACTCCATCATTAGCATACAAGATATTTTAAAAAGTTTGCAGTCTTCCGGTGATCTCTATCTTAAATTTATGCGACCTTTTACGGCTTTCACCCAATGGCTAAATGCACATCTGTCCTCATATTGTGTGCATTTTGATTTGTGTTACTGATAGTTTGATTTTTTTCTGAATATTGCAAAATATTGTTTCCACAAATTTAATTTTGCTTTTAAATCTATCTATATCTTAAATGGGCATCTACAATAAGCTCTCTGTATGTGAAATGTTTATCCATGTTATGATTAATCATACAGTTTTGAAAATCTTTGATGCCAGTATGAAAATATCTTGTTTACTTGGAAGTAGTTGCAGAGCCAAATTCTTAGAGCACAGGCACAAATTTTTTTTTTCAAAATTTTTTAACCATTTTAACCCAGGTTAGTGACTGACATCAGCCGTTCTAAACAACACTTCTATTAGATACTTTATATATATATATATATATATAAATGAAATATATAATAATTAAAAAAACTTACAATTTGTAAGGTTTTATCATGAGCATGAGAGGCAGAAGCATGGGGTGAATAGGACACTGTCACAAGCTAAGTAATGTATCTTGCATAGGAGGGCTTGTGCTATAACTTGCTTGGAAGCTATTGTCGTGCAGCGAGTAGAAGTGTGTGTGGAGCTATGGTCGCACTGTGCGTGCTTGTGGGAAGTAGATTGTAGGCTTGTCGGTACGAAATAATGTGCAGGCTTGTGTTTCCTAGTGCAAAAGATATTGGGGAAGCAAACAAGTTAGTGTGAGCGGCAATGGGGTTGCGGTTGTGATGGTGCGAAAGCTAGGCTACTGGTGTTAGGGGCAGCGGCGGGGTTACTTGTGCTAGGGGCGGTGGCAGGGCTAATGGGTTGCCTGGTGTGAGGGGCAGCGATAGGGTTGGGGGGTGAAACACAGGAACCACAGAAGTAGGGCTGCATGGTTTGAGAGGTACCGGGTTTGACCTTGTTGTTGTGGAAGCAATTCGACGGTGCAAAATAGGAAGGGGGGTGGTGATAGGCCTCGATGATCATGTTACTGTGGAAGCGGGGTTAAGATCGTGAACGAGTCGTGCTCGAGCTTGAGCTTGATTATTATGAAAGAGAGAACTATATCAATTCAATTTGGTACTATAATAAAATGACAAATTGAATCAATAATTAAGAGATAAATAAAATGTAAAACATCATTTTTTTCTTACATTTTTTATAATTTAAAGATAAATTATTGAATTTTAAAATTATTTAAGTATTATTTATATTTATTATTTTTAAATGAGCTGGCTCACAAGCTAATGGGTTGTGGTAGGGCTAGCTTGAGCTTGGCTTTTTAGCTCATTAAGTTCATTTTACGAGCTACTTATCAAGCTGAGCCCAAGCTGGCTCATGAGTTGACTTGGATCACTTACACCCCTAAGCGGGGCAAAGGTGCAAAAATGCAAGCACAAGAAACCGACCGGAACTGGGAAGGCAGGAAATTGCTTAATCGGGCATTACAATGTGAATGGAAATGAACATCAACTGACGGGATCATTTTACAATGTTTTGGCCGTATGCTTAAGTAATTGTAAAGAATAAAAATAAGCTAAGCAATATTTTATTGCTTTAATAGAGTGTAACAATAGTATAATGAAGCAGATATAATGATTCAACAACCACAAGCTTTTATCACTCTAATTGGAGTGAGCTACGTGAAACCTTTTTGTCCATTGTGTCATATTGAGTGTCATATTTTTATTTAATTATGATATATTAAGATTATTTTTCATACAAGCACACATCTTTTTAGGTCTACCTCTACCTTTCTTACCAAACGTCAAATATAATACATCTAGTTTCTTAATAGGATCATCTCATGGTCTATATTTAATGTGACCAAACTATCTAAGACTATTCTCTCTAATCTTGTTTGCCACCGAGCTATGCCAAAGCCTTCACAAATATATTCGTTTTGCATTTTTCTCATCCACCTAAGTGTTCTCATCCTAAGTGTTCTCATCTCACCAACACTTAACTTACTTTTATGCTCCTCTTTTATAGGCCAACATTTTGCACCATAAAGCATTGCAGGCCTCACCACCATCTTATGAAATTTTCTTTTAAGCAGTACTTCTCTATCACACAATAGGCTCATTGCATTCCTCCATCGACGCAGGGCTTGTTGTGGTTGTCTCAGGGCGCCAATCGTTGTGGGGTGGGGGTGGGGGATTACAACCCCTTCTCACATTTTCTTTTCTATTGTATTCCTACCATAGGGGGGATTCCTTTCCTATCCTATTTCCTTGCCTTTTTTCTATCGCTTTCTTATTCCATTTTTTTGCATTTTCTTGTACCTTCGTATTCCATCCCTTTCTTTTTATTTTACTTGCTATTTTTATATACTTCCACCTATTATATATATATGTTACTTTTCTTGCTTAGAGGTAGTTTCTGATTGTTGTTTATTTCAATTTGCTGCCCTTAAGGCATTTCTCCCCTCTGTGGGTTTATCTGACGACAAGAAGGTGCTGCAGCTTCATTATAGGTGGTGATTATTTCCATTAGTCCCAAAAACTACCTCATCTTGGCAAACAAATTCGATGCGGTTCAGTTCATATGGCCTCGATTTTTGTTGGATCCATTTGAATGCCACACTAGAAGTATATCTGGTTTGTCAGGAAGTGACACTTCTTCAGATGAACATATAGTTTCTTTACTCGTAATATCTCAAACACCGCTCTCAGGTGTTGTAAGTGTTCCTCTTCAGATTCGTTGTATGCCAGCATGGCGTCATAGTGAACCATCACAAATTTCTTAACTTGAGTCTGGAATACCTCATTCATCAACCTCTTAAAAGAATTAGGCGTGTTTGACAAGCCAAAGGGCATGACTGTCAGCTAGTATAAACTATCTCGTATCTTGAAAAAGGTCTTCCACTATTCTCCCGGCCTCATTCGGACCTGGTGATACCAACTGCATAAGTCAATCTTTGAAAAGATGGACCAAATGACAAGTGTTGTACTAAAATAGATTCTCATTTCCGCCTTCTTTCAACTCTTATCTGCCCTGTCACTCCCCTATCCTATTTTGCTAACCCCTCAAAAGATACCCTTGTTAGCTGTGGTAGTTGTAGTTGACTGTCTGACTAAGGCTACTGCCTAAATGAAGATTATTACCTGCTCTGTTTTTATTTTCTTCAAGGTTAGAATTTGAACACCCTCCCAGAGAGCAACATGGCTGTAACTACCCAATATTATTAATAGTAGGCTTCAACCCCCCAGTTACTAGGCTGTAGTGTGCTCTATGGATCGACCAACTCACACTTCATTCGCAATTAGTTGAACTGTGCTGTGAACTCTGTGAACTCCTCTACTAAAATGTGTCTCTGCTGCAGGTGGTGGAGTCTTAGAAATATGTTCTGGTGGTAATGAGGTGGAATGTATTTCCTCTGCATTATTTTTTTTCATCTTTTCCTATTTGATGATCTCATCTCTGCTTTTTCTTTTTCTTTGTCTCTGTAATGTTCCCACCATAAAGAGATGCTAATTTTCAACTTGATGACTGCTAATTTCACGGGCTTGTCCTCTGACAACTTCTTACATTCAAAGATTTGCTCAACAGATTGCAGCCAATCAATAATGTCATCTTAATCCATGCCTTCATCATACTCTGGTAGATCCGTTTTGATGTCGAAGTCCCCGTGTCCTGTATTTGCAGGCTTCCTCTTAACCTCCTCAAATAAAATTATGAAGTGGCATGACCGGTATTCATCGACACTGATGTATTCCCTGTGGATAGATTTAGATCCTCATTCTTATCTCCCATTCAACTTTTCTAGATCGCGGCCAAAGGTAATCTTCGTTTGGGTTCCATCATCAATTTTCGCGAACCTTTGTTGAAGCTGATGGATCTCCTTTTGTATTTCATCTCGGGTAGGTTTCAACATATATCTCAGTGGCAACATGATTAGGGTTTGGGTTTGGAAGGGGTGGTTGAGGATAGAGAAGAAAAAAAATTTGCAGAGAGGTAAGACGGATGCTAGGAAACTCTAGGATATGACTAGGGTTAGGCTAACTTTAATTTGAAATGTTACTAGAGTAACCCTAAAAAACAACAAATAATATTATTATTGCTAAAATCTAAAGGAATCACAACCAAAGCTCTTCGAACAGAAATAACATAGCTTACACATAAATGTGCCCCGACGGGGAGGATGAAGGTAGTGTATATAAGCTGACTAGAAAGTGGTAAGAGGTTCAACAGGGGGGTGTGGCATCCAGGAAGGTCGTTGGCAGGTTGAACGTTAACAAGTGAGGGTGTAGTAGTGGCTGAAGAAAGCAGGTGGGTGAGTTGGAAGTGCTGGTGACAATAGGAGCAGGTACAGGGAACAAGGAAGCGAACCGACGGCCCAGCGGAGGGGGCGGTGGGCTTGGAGTGGCTTTTGTGGGGGGGGGGGGGGGCCCAGGCTGGCAGTGTTTGTGGTGGCACATGTAGGATGCTGGAAAACAAAGACTAGAATAAAGCAGGGGAGGGGGTTGCATTGGGGATTAGGTAGAGGTAGTCACCACCTCGTAGCATAATACAGCCGGAGTACTGTTTTTCCTGGGATACAACCCTAATAAGGGAAGAGACGTTTGGCGATAGAAACTTTGAAACCGGGAAACACAAAACTAAACCATAATTAGGAGGCTGGACCGAGCCCTTTGACCAAGTCCTGCGTCGACGGATAATCATAAATAATAAATCTGAATGCTTGTAAGAAAATTAAATTCTAATATATGGTGCGTAATATTCATTGTATAATGCTAGTACTAAAGTGAATGCTTTGCTTTTATCTTGTGTATTATATTATTTTTTATATCCTATAATGCTTGCCTAAATATTGATATATTTTGATATCATATGATCGTTACCTTGACTGTTTATTCAAATGTAAACATGAATGCTCGTAAGAAAATTAATTTCGGCATGTGTGGGAATTGTGTATAAATTTATTTTGAAGTCAATATAATATGGTTCTGCTTCTAGGAAGATGAACCTTAACATTGAAATATTCTGGTTTTTGTTTTTTTGCTGGGTTGAACGCTTACTAAAACGGTTTCCAAATGGGCAAAAGCAGGCAAAATTTCACATAGTGCAAGAGCTGCTGGGAAAATTTATCTTGATGGTATCTAAATTTGGTGAACGAGCTTGTGATTATCCACTACTGGAGGAACTTAACGAGGAAAGGAGTCGGTGCCGTTGCAAGATGAGGAACATGTTTAATCCATCATTTGGGCCTACTTTCCTCACGGACTGTGGTTATGAATCAGGTTTTGCTTACCATTTGCATAACTATGCCGATGTGTACACCAGCAAGCCTGAGAATTTCCTCGACTACCCTTTTGACGCATGGCTTCATGTTCCATCTGATATTAAGATCCTGTCACATCATGTTAAGGTCATCATCTCGTTATTATGATGCTCCATTTTCATTTATCTCATCTCATGTATGCCAAAGTTTGATAAATGAACCCATTTCTATCAATATATCTTGTAGGTATCCTCGAGTTTTCTCAAGGAGAAGTATGATTGTGAGCCGAAAGAACCAAAGAAATAAAAAATAAAGAGAAAAAGGCATTTTATATTTTTCTTCTTTGCCCGGGGCTTCATTTGCACTGTTATTATAAATATTTGTTGATTCATTTAGTTTTTAGTGTTCTGTTGAAGTTTTACAGCTTTTGCTGTGCATTTAATCGTGGACCTTTAAGCGGTGAAATTGTGCTTGGCATGGATTTATATGATGCAGTATAATAGTTTCTATATTGACAACTTTTTTGTTTCTGCTTTGATTTCCTGCAAATATATGTACTAGTCCCCAACATCTATTAAAATCAACGTCTGATGCGGATGCCTAAAATCAGCAGGCGAGTTAGGTTCCATATTTGGCGATTTTTTTTTTTATTGCATCTAAATTGAAGCAATTCTTAACAAGATTACCCACCAAAATATGAGTACAATTTAACTACTACAATAAGTCAACACTTGTTTTCTAGAACAAATTACGATTCAAACTACTAAATGACTTTTAATTTTAATTATTTCAATTATATATGTAATTACTTCAATTATCATTTGAAGCATTCACATTTAGTTGATGCATAATTATTAACCAGAATATTATAAAGTAATGAATATTGAGATTTCATGAACTAAACTCAAACAATTATTTTTGAATTTTTATTAATTTTTAGTAATCTCTTATCAAAATACACTGGATCAAACACATGTCCGCGGGCCAAGTTTAGTTGTGGCTGATGATTAGTTAGTTTAATAAATTTTTAGTATTCATATTACATTTCCTTACATTAATCTTGATTTAAAAAAGATTTAAAAATCATTTATTAATATTTTTGAAAGTAAAATGTATTCAAGACAAATATATTAGTAAAAAACTTAATTGTCCTTAATCTATAATCTTAATTAATCAAAGTTTTAATTAAAAATAATATTAATAATTTAAATTTTTTTGTTAAAACAAAAAAGTTTAATTGTCTTTAATCTATAATCTTAATTATTCAAAGATTTTTTGTATTAAGCAGGCTAAACTTTTTGGTTAAATCCGCGTCCCTATTAATATACTATAAAACACTGCCCAATAAATCCGGGTATATTCGATTTAGTGAATCATATTATTGAATTAAATTCAACCGGCAGGAACTAAAAAGGACCCCTTCGTGTTAGGAAGAATTATTCCCTCAGTACTACGCACCGTAAGGAAGGCGCGTAGCCAATAAAATTGACTGTGTCAGCTGTAAACTACGGTCCCACTTAATTTAGGGGTATTCGCGACCCGGGCTTGACCCAAAACCCGAATTCTGAAAAAAATCCCGCCACAATAAAATGAGTTCGCGCCAGTTGCTGTTCTATTCGAAGGGTGAAGAAATATTTTCGTTGGTTTTTTGACACCTTCGTTCATAGCTCCGTTCATAGCTCCGGTCACAGCTCCGTTCACAGCTCCGGTTCACAGCTCCATGGACGTTCAGATGCCGGAAGTCGATTTCTCCAGTGAGCAAGTGTGATTCTGAGGAGGAGTTTGAAAAAACGTGGTCCTTAATGATTGAGTTTGGGGAACTTCAAAGCAATGTTTGGTTAGATGAAATGTATCGTATAAGGCGTAAATGGTCAACTGCATTTAATAAGGATATATTTGGTATGAGTATTTTATCAACACAGAGAAGTGAGTCGACCAACAATGTTTGTCATGGTGTTTCAAAGTCAACTAGCTCTCTCACAGATTGTTTTATCGGTCTTGAAAACATTATGAAATCGTGGCGCCGGAGTGAGAAAGATGAAGATTTAAAATGTGGTCAGTCCGTGAGGACACCCATGGTTAAAATCAATCCCATGCTGAGGCAAGCATCCTCATTCTATACAAGGAAGCTTTACTCAATGTTTGAACAAGAGCTCTTGAATGGCTTATGTGGGCTAACATATGAAGTATCAGTGGAGAGCGATGCTAAATATTATGTATCAAAATTGGATGATGAGGGGACAAGGCAGCCCTGGAATGTGTTAGTTGACAAGGTGACCTGTGAGGTTACATGTAGTTGCAAAAAGTTCGAGATGATGGGGTTGTTGTGCTCCCATGCATTATTTGTTTTAAGTCTTGCAAAAATAAAGGTGATTCCAGAAAAATATTTCTTATTGCGGTGGTCCATCAATGCTAAAAGGGACATGTATAACAGATTCGGGTGCAAAGAGCTAAAAGACTCTGGATGTAATAATGTTTCTTCAAGTTCCCTTATATTCAGTTCATGCTCCCAAAAATTTGCATATAAGCTCATTAATAGAGCACAAGGACATGAGTTAGCTGAGGAGTGTCTGTGGGAAACTTTCAGAAAGTTATCAGGAGATATTGAGGATGCCATAGCAGGGAGAACGATAGAATTACATAAAACCAAAAAGAAGCATAAACCCAGAATAATAGAGTGCAATGTCAATGACCCTGCTAAAAAAAGGCCGAAAGGAGTATCTACAACGAGGCTGAAAGGACATTGGGAGAGAAATAAGAAAGCCAAAAGTATAAATTTTTTATTTTACTATTTCCTCATTCCATTCCATGTATAATGCGTACTTCTAATTTGACCCATTGCGTCATTTAATTTATTTCTCTTTCGTATTACTGACCTGCTGCAGGAAAACTATGCATCGCAACTAAGCCAAACGTACAGTGGACTTTTGATGGATTCCATAAGTGAGAATTTATATTGATTGATATTGTAAAAGCTGTAATACTGTATCATTTCTAAACGTTTTTACGAAAAGGTTATTTGTGGTTTATAATATGTGTTTGTCCAAATATTTGTATATTTATCCTGCTCAAACATACATATCAACTGTAACACGGGAATAACAGGTAAATAATACGCAAATAACACGAGAATAACACTGCAATAACACAGGAATAACACGAAGATAGTACGTGAATAACACGGGAATACCACGTAAATAATACATAAATAACACGAGAATAACACTACAATAACATAGGAATAACATGAAGATAGTACGTGAATAACACGGGAATACCACGTAAATAATACGTAAATAACACGAGAATAACACTACAATAACACGGGAATAACACGAAGATAGTACGTGAATAACACGGGAATAACACGTAAATAATACGTAAATAACACGAGAATAACACTACAATAACACGGGAATAACACCAAAATATGACGAGGAATAAAACAACACGTGAATAACACGGTAATAATACGTCAATAACACGTGAATAACACGGTAATAATACGTCAATAACACGTGAATAACACAGACAATAACACTTGAGTAAGACAAGAATAACACGAAAATAACACGGGAATATCACGTGTTACTAACGTGTTACTAACTCATGATGTATCATGATGTAAACCATAAGAGAAACACGAGAATAACACGTCAATAATACGGGAATAACACAGGAATAACCTGAGTTACTCACGTGTTACTATGCGCCCGCAGCGAATATTCCTTGTGTTATTGACTGATTAATCGGCGTTACTCTGCGTTACCGCGTGCATTCTAGCGTGTTACTTCTCTGTGTTACCGCCAATTAATCGGTGTTATTCCTCATTTACTCGTGTTATTTAAACGATCAAAGATTTGTGAGAATTTTTTAATATTTTAGATAAATTTTATATTACAAAGAAAACAGGATAAGTAATATTAGAATATTTATTGGCTAAGGGTTACTCTTTGGTTATGTCCGTGTTATCCACGTGTTACTGACGTGTTACTCACGTGTTATTCAGGATGCATCAGATGCATTACTCTCGTGTCACTCTCGTTTTATCCGCGTCTTACTCCCGTGTTACTCACAATGCAACAGATGCATTACTTTCGTGTTACTCTCGTGTTATCCACGTGTGTTATCCACGTGTTACTCCCGCACGTGTTACTCCCGTGTTACTCAGGATGTAGCAGCTGCATTACTCTCCTGTTACTCTCGTGTTATTCAGGATGGAGCTGATGCATTACTATCGTGTTATTCCCTTGTTATCCATGTGTTACTCTCGTGTTACTCACAATGCAGCAGATGCATTACTCTTGTATTACTCTCGTGTTATCCACGCGTTACTCCTGTGTTACTCAGGATGTAGCAGCTGCATTACTCTCCTGTTACTCTCGTGTTATCCAAGTGTTACTCCCATGTTACTCTCGTGTTATCCGCGTGTTACTCCCGTGTTACTCAGGATGTAGCA